GGGGGGGGGGGGGGGGGCGCCCCCGGAGCCACATGGTGGGCTGGAGGAGGAGCCGTTGCCCAGGCAACAGCTGAGAGCATCCTTCATCCCTGAAAATGGTGTGCCGGCAGCGCTGCCTCCACAGCCCCACAGCTCGGGGCAGGGCCCAGGACCCCCCCCAGAGCTCGCCCGGGGCCCGTGTGCCCACCCAGAGCTTGCTGTGGCCGTGGGGCCCGGACACCAGCACCCCCCCGCCCACATGCTGCTCCACCCTGGCGAGGACGGGGCTGGGGACGAGGCACCCCCTGAACGCCGGGGCTGGGGCACCGCTGGGTGGGGGGGAGCTGGGGACAGGCAGAGCCCCTTCCACGCCCTGCTCGTGGCTCGGCCACGGGCTGCCCGCGGCCCGGCCCTGCCCGCAGAGCCACGCCGACCGCCTGACGGACACCGCTAACACGTTGGTGACCCCGGCACCTCCATGCCAGGGTGCCGCAGCCCAGGCAGTGCCAGCATGAGCATCCCCGGCCGGTGCAGCGGGAGCAAAAATCCCCAGGCAGTCCCCATCCCCCCACCCTGCCTGCCTGCCTTCCACGGCTGCAGAAAATTCCTGGATTTTACCCCAAGATGCCCCCTCCGAGTGTGAGAACTCCTCCTCGGCCCGCTCCCATAGCAACTGTTCCCTAGCTACCCAGCCGCACTTGCTATTCTCATCCCTGTGCAGCTGTGTGCGGCCCCCCGGCGCTGCGCACCAGGCTGCCGAGGCTGCCGCCGGCCTCGCCGCCAACCCCGGACCCCAAAGCCACCCCCCATCCACCCCGACCAGGTCACCGGCCTTTGCCCGCTCCCCCATGGCGACCGCCGTGACCCCAGCCCTGCTCAGGCCATGTCCCCCGCTTCGAGGGGCTGGCGCAGGGTCCCCCTCTGCACGGTTCCCCCCCCCAGCAGCGATGCACAGTGCCCGGAGGGGAGCAGGATTCTGCCCCCGGCCCCACAGCCCACCCGTGACGGCCCGGGAGGGGCTGTGCCGAGGGCAGGACAGGGGAGCGGGGGGATGTGCCCCAAAGGGGACCACACCAGCACCCCCACGGCACAAAGCCTTGTTCCTGTTGTGCCCTTGTGCCGACCCAAACCACCCAGCAGAAGCCACCGAGGGCCACCCACGGTCCCCGG